GCAGAGATGCAGAAAAGCAAATCCATCTCAGCTCCCTGCATCGCTCCACAGGCACTTCCAGATTCAGGAATTCAATCCAATCCTCTTTGCTGATTGGACCAGGCCCCGGGTATGTGGGACTTCCCCTCATGAATCTGGCGATCCCACCGGTCGTGTGTTCCCACCGGTTCTGGCTGCTACGGGGTTCCCGTGTGCCTACAATTAGGAGTAGTGGTAGGTAGGTAGTGTGAGGTGAAATTGAGAGAAGAACATAGCTTTAAAAAAAAAAAAAAAAAAAAAAAGCTTTCTTGCCTGGGTCCACCATCTTGCGGGTCATCATGGGTCTACCCCGGCCCTCGAGAGAAAAAGTTTTCTTGCCGGTGACATTGGTTTTCCGTTCGTGGTTGACAAAACCCTGGGTGGTTCGACAAAAAAAGGGGAGTGGGCGGGGACCTATGATGATGAATAAAGACCCTACCCATGTCCAAAAAAAAAGAAGGGATAACTGCTCCTGGTCATACTTTAAGTTCAAAACGGCCAAAGAAGCACTTGATGTCTCCTGTCCTCGTAGTCCAAGTTCAAAACGGCAAAAAAAACACTTGATGGCAACATCCTCGTCGTCCAAGTTCAAAACGGCAAAAAAAAAATCACTTTTTTTGTTTTTTTTAATCAAACAACAGTTTTTTTTTTATTTTTTAAAGGTGTTTCGGCCCCATGGTTGGGCCACGGCCGAGATGTCTCGGCCACACCCCAGATTGGCCATGGCCGAGATGTCTCGGCCACACCCCAGATTGGCCACAGCCGAGATGTCTCGGCCACACCCGAGATGTCTCGGCCACACCCGAGATGTCTCGGCCACACCCGAGATGTCTCGGCCACACCCCAGATTGGCCATGGCCCAGATGTATAGGACAAACCCCGGCGTGGCTCAGATATATCGGCCAAACCCCGATGCAGCGCGACCATACGACGGATTAAAAAAAGAAAAAAAGAAAAAAAAAAACGAGAAAAAAAAAGAAAAAAAAAAGAAGACAGAAGTGCCTGTTTCAAACAGGCTCCATGTGTATAACGCGGGCCACTGTTATTATTGCCGTTTTGAACTACGGTCGGGACGGACCTGCGGACGACTGTGTGTGTGTGTGTGTGTGTGTGTGTGTGTGTGTGTGTGTGTGTTTTTACTTTTTTATTCCAAAAACTGAAAACACCCGGGCCGGGGACCCCACAATTCAACCCGGGAGAGAACTTCTGGCAGCATTAGCCAGTTTCGCTTTTTACGGCACCCATAGGAACCGGACAACAGCTAATTATGACCGACCAGTGAAGCCCAGTAAACCAATAAAAAAATCCCAAATCTACCATTCTAAAGGCTGCTAACCATCAGACCAAATGACAGACTTTTACTCAAAGACAAGAGAATTCGTCTAACTACCAACATTCACTCCAACTGTACTCCTATCTACTATAAAAAAGGCGTCAGTGCTACAGATCTCTCCAAAGGGGTAAAATGATCTAGAACGAACAAATCACCAAATTGCAGAAGGGTATCATGGCCTAATTCGGCCAGATATCTGTGCAGTCTGAAGTCTTTTGTCCTAGCCAACAGCAGATATTCAGCTTCCCGTCAGACGTAACAGAGGCCAAGAGGCTTTTGTTAGACCAAGTCTTAGAAAACCACAATTTGTTCTTCCTGGCCTGAGTCTTGGAGTCTCTCCAGTCTACTATGATCGCCATCCGGATTTGGCTTTTTATTTCGCCTACCAGCCTATCAAAGGCGGTGTTCTCTCGGCGGAATACAGCGTTATTTCTCCCTCTCCAGATAGTTTCCATTATGATGCCCCTGCACACTACTGCGATATAACCCCATCCAGATGTTAGGTCCGCCGCTGCTGGTGTGGAGCCGAATAGTATCCATTCGTGTGACCAAGGAAAGTCACCCTTAGACCATTTCTGCCAGTGGGATTGCCACCAGGACCAAACTTGGAAGGAGACCGGGCAGTACAGCCATACATGAGTGGCAGTCTCCCAGCCCCACTGACACCTAGCACACTGGACATCCACTGACATCCCTTTATCCGATAGCCATTTAGCCGATGGAGTAACTAGCAGGGATTGGAGCCATTGCAGGCTGGCCTGCTTTTGAGAGGGGATAAATTTTAAAGCTCTCCAAAGTTTAAATAAATCAGTAGAACCAGCATCGAAGCCCGGTTCTTTACTCAGACGGTCGGCAGCAATGATGATAGGCTGTTTCTTTCCCTTTGCTCTGAGCACCTTCACTCCCCACCCTGGTTTATATTGAAAAATCAGGGAAAAGGAAGATGACGACTCTAAACCAGCCCAGCCTAACAGAGCTGGTTCAATCATTACATCTGAGGCATGTTCAAACAGTAACAGAGCCCTTCTTTCGCCCCCAGGATCTGGAGCCCACACTCTGCTCTCCTCGTAACCCCCTGTGGAAGGTAAGACCCTCTCACCCGCATGAGTAAGCCAAATCTGTGGCCTTTCATCCTCAACTGTGTGCCAGACTTGAGCCCTAGTCCCCTGAGGTATCTCCGGGCCAAGCACTCGCAGATACGTACCCGGGGAGTTAGGATCTTTCAGCCAGGACCCTGTTTGGGGAAACTCTGCGTTCTGCAAGATTACCAGCCAAAAGGTCGGGATGGAGCTCTTTAGTTCTGAAAAGTGCTTCTCAACATTACGACATCGAGGGAGGAGCCTTCTTAACTGACTCCCCTGAATCCAACCTCCATCCCTAGAATCCCAGAGATCTTTTACTTGAATTATTCCCCTCTCCGCCCAGGACCTACCAAAGGAGCCTCTGAACCCGTCAGCCATATATGGAGTTCCGTCCTCCTTCAAGATCCAAGAATTTTCAAATAAAATCTGGTTCAATACTTCGTGGACCGTTGAAGGTTGTCGGCTTTCCGATGGAAACAGCTTGCTCCAAGCATGTAAAATATTCTTCCACAGTTTAGATTTCGGGCGGCGATTTCCAAAGGAAGGAATGAACAGGCACCTCCACACATCTTCCCATTTGGACAAGCTCCATTCTGTCGACAAAATATATTCTGCCAGACGCACCCACCATTTGGATCGTACACCCCATGTTGCCGCAATAATCCATTTAATTAGTAGAGCTAGGTTCTGGTGTACCGGGTCCAGAATCCCCAAACCACCAAGTTCCCTGGCCTCACACACCGCTTCCCAACTGACCTTGGGGATAAAACCCTCATGGTCCTGGGCCATTGGTTTCCATAAATATCGGGAGGCCGCTCTTCTTATCTGAGTATACGCACCTTCCCCCAACAAGTGAACGGATAGGGGGAACCAAAGGATGGAGAAGGCTGCTGAAGAAATAATCATGGCTCTCCCGTATAGCGACAACTTGTGGTTGCGGATCCATCCTGCAATTCTGGCAGAAATTTTCCCGGCCAAGATGTCATCCTGAACCCCTGCACAGTCCGATAGCGAAACTTGAACACCCAAAAATCGGTCCGAAGAGTTAGCCGGGACTTGCCTCAAACCCCAGTTCACGCACAAAGCTTGGGAGGGGGGGAGAAAGAAGACCGACTTGTCCCAATTTATGGATGCTTCTGATAAAGTACAATAAGTATCTATTACTAACCTTAATTCCTGTAGAGATTCTATTGTGTTCTCAGAAGCTATAGTTAAGTCATCAGCAATGGCGCCCCCTTTCCAATGAGAAGTCTGAGATAGATGAAGGCCCTTGATTCTCTCATTCTTTCGGATGGTATTCAGTAGAACCTCCAATTGGAGAACGAATAGCAAAGGGGCCAGGGGGCAGCCCTGCCTGAGCGAGCGCGACAGCTGAAAGCTGCTGGATAATCTACCATTAACTATCACTACTGAGGATGCGCCTGAGTAGCTTGCTTTTACCCAGCTACAAAAGCCCTGACCGAACCCCAGTTTTTTCAAAGTAGTATGAACGAAACTCCAACCAACCTTGTCATATGCCTCGCGGCTCCACCGAAGAGGGGGTTGTTTTCAAAGTAGTATGAACGAAACTCCAGTCAGGGGGATATCGCGGCTCCACCGAAGAGGGGGTTGTTTCACAATGAGGGAAAAAAACCTCGTCACATACGTGGCGACAGCCAAGGAAATTTCCACTTGGATGTTGAGAGTGGGCCATTCGGCGGTGGAGTTAGACGGAAAGAAGTACACACTGACGTTTGAGCCCTGGATGACGGAGAACGAACTTTGGGAGTGGAGGGAGCTGTCCAAACACCGGTTCTTTTGGATTAGATGTCTGCAAGTACCGGTGGGAGTCCTTCCTCACCTCTCCAAAGTCGTTGAAGATGCCTTTGGCCCTATTTTAAAGGAATTCCCAGCCTATAAAGACCCAATTGAACCAGACCTATTGAATGTGCGCTTTGATTTGGAGTCTGCAGCCAGACTGCGTTATAAAAGGTATCTGGTCGTTGATTTGGGCAATATGGGTTATGTGGAATTGGAAGTAATTTGCCCCACTACTCCGTGGTGTCCGGCGTGTAGAATGTATTTCCATGAGGAAGGTGACCAGGAGTGTGGGTCAAAAAGAAAAAAGTCGTACGCGGCGGCCGTTTCAAACCAGAAATCTCCCATGCCGAGTAAGGGCAAGGGGAAGGGGGGGGGACCGACAGGCGGTGGGAAAGGTACAGAAGTGAGTGGAGAGAAAGGAGGAGGGAAGGGAGGGGGCAAGGACGGCAGAGATGGAGGGTCGGATGAGGGAGAAAAGGAAGGGTTCCCGTCCCCGAAGAAAGGGAGCCGATCCCCGAGGAAAAGGGCGGAGGGTGAGGGTTCGCAAGGTAAGGGCAAGGGCTCCCCCTTGAAAGGGGTGGGGCCAGAGGGGACATCTGGCCCCCAAGGGGAAAAAAGGAGCGAGCTAGGGAAGGGTGAGGGTGAGGGGGGAGGACCGATCGGGGGGGACGGAGGTCCTACTCAGCAGGGAGAAAGGGAGATAACAGAAAAGAGAGAACAATCGACTCTGGTGATAGATCAGGGAATGTTAGGGGGAGGGAAGGGATTCGTGGAGGAGGATAAGATGGATGAGGACATTGCCCTGACCAGAGAGAAACGCAAACGTGAGCACGATGAGGCTACGCAGGAGGAGGAAGACCACTCGTCTTCAGAGGATCCTTCCCCCAGCAAAGCCTTAGTCGTGTACGACCCACGAAAATTCCGGTATTCACGAGGGAAGTCGGTATCCTGGTCCTCGGACGAGGGATCAGAGGAGGAGGACGAGGGACGTTTAATTCCTTTGTTTGGGGATTTGAACGACCTGCCTGCTTCTCCGATGAAAACCTACGATAACCTTTATTACGACTGGGGAACTCCAAGCACTGCACTCAGATCAGCTCCCTCAGATGGGACCCCCTCTAGCCCAGACGAAGTTTTTAAAACAGAGGAGCCGAATGCGGAGGAGCCTATGGCTTCCCAGGCTTTGGCCCCTCGGAGGGTACCGTCTTTGGACCGCTCCACAGGGAGTATCCCTCAGAAGACTAGGTTATCTCCGACGAAGAAATCTAAGGTTCTGCGGCCGAAACCCAGAGTGGGTGGTCTGCAGATAGAGTCCCTCTCCACCCCCATTCAGCAAGAGGCTGGGGGATCAGAGAAAGTAGGGAGGAGACGCAAGTCTGTGCCCCCTCTTTCTCAGGCCCCGCCCATGAGAACGCTGACCAAAGCTGAAAAGAAGAAAGGGGTGAAGGCGGAAATGGTCATACCGCTGATCTGTACCCACTCTCCACATGGCATCATGGTGCTTACGAACAAACAGCAAGATGAAGCACTGACTCTTCCATTCCTTTCAACAGCTGGTCCACCAGGAGACGGGCAACTGACTGAGTGGGTCTCGAAGACCGTCTTGAATGGGCTGGCCACCTGTTCAATGCTGTCCAAACCCAAGAAGGATAGACACATGCATAAGACCTTAAAGGGAGAAACTCTAATCGCGCATATCTCCTTATTGGCTCTGCAGGCTGATACTGCTGCGAGATTATCTTTACGGAATCTAGACATACACTGGCTGCCCCTCACCCATTTTTTGGATGTGGGGGTGGACACTCTGTATGACATAACAATCACAGAGGACATGTCGGCACTCACAATTGCGCAGTGGTTGGCGCAGTCCGGGACGGCGGACTATTTAACCTCCTCAGCTTTTGCAGCGAACTTACAAAAGAAGCAAGTGCCCAGTATCCCGAATCAACAGGGTTCCCTCCAGCCCTCACCCCTGGGAACAGGGCAAGTCTTAAAAAAACAGAACTCCCCCCGCATCCAAATTGCACGCGGTAAGGACCCAGTTAATGGTTCTGCCAAGCAGGATTAGATTGGCCACGTGGAATGTCCGTGGCTTAGGTGATACAGCGAATAAATTTAAAAAATCTAGACTGCGTGCCTGGGTACATAAGCATCAGGTACATATTCTGTGTTTGCAAGAAACGAAACTGAATGATCCTAAATTGTCCAACATCACAAGATGGTGGAATGGCCCCCAGTTTTGGGCCCCCGCCCAGGGGTCTAAAGGGGGGGTTGCCATTCTAGTAAATCATGATTTGGACATAGACATTATTGATCGATATGCAGACCCAGACGGCAGGGTGATATGGGTTAAATTTGAAATGGAATTGGAAACATGGGCAGTTCTGTCGATTTACGCCCCGGTTGACTATGCAGAAAGACTGGAATTCTTGGCCTCTTTACCAGGCCGGATCCCGGACACAGAAAACTTAATCCTGGCCGGGGATTGGAATACTATCTTTAATCCTGGCCTTGATTCTCTGAAGACACACCAGATCAGAGCTGATACCATGATTCTGTCAGAATTTATGGAATCACAGAGCTTGGTCGATGTGTTCAGGCTTTTGAACCCAGATGAGAATGGTTTTTCCTGGTTTGGCCCTAAACCCAGCAAACGGGCTCCGGCTCCCAGAAAGCGCCTGAATTTTTTTCTAGCCAGGGGTGTACCCTGGGATAGATGTATGTCCTACGAAGTTCAAGTTGGCACCCTTTCAGATCATTACCCCGTGACATTGGATGTCATTTCTAGGGACCTGCTGGAAAGACACCGCCCCCTTTTCGTCTGAATGTTAATTTGCTTAGGGACGAAGGGATTTCTAAATGGGTCTCAACCCACTTGGAAGCCTGGAAAGGGGCTCAAGATCTGTTCAGTGACCCGGAAGTATGGGCCGATACCGGAATTGCTATTATAAGGGCCGCCTTGATGGAATTCTCTAGGATGAAAGCTGCCACCCGAACTTGGAGGGAGCGATCACTAGAAAAGGCTGTCAAGGACGCAGAGAACAACATGGGTAAGGATAGTTTCTCTGACTTTTATTGGACGAATAAAAGAATGAAAGCTTTGGCCGAGCTTGAAACTCTTCAAATCCAACAACAACGTGATTGGCTTGATTGGTTGAAGCTCAGAGGGATTATTGGCTACGATAGAATGACTAAAATATCCTTCAGATCCCTACTACTTAGGAAATCCAAGTCCTTAGTAAGAGAACTTTCTCACCCCTTTGCGATTAATGCCCCGATAGCTAACAACACTGTGACTATGTGTGAGTATGCGCTAGAATATTTTAGGGACATAGTGACAACTCGCAGACCATTTGATACTCCTGACACAGACCTGGCTGAATACTCAGACTTTTGGGATGCTCCTTATGCAACTATTTCCCAATCCACTGAAGTAGAACTGGATCAGCCCATGACTGAAAGAGAACTGTCTGCAGCAAAACTCATGGCCAAGGGTAAATGTCCTGGCCTGGATGGTCTCCCGGTTGAACTCCTTTTAGCTTCCTGGCAGGCGTTTGGCCCCTTCTTGTGTGAAATATATAACAGGGCCATGGCAACAGGTTCCTTCCCCAAAAACTTTACCATGGGAATGATCTCCCTTCTCTACAAAAAAGGAGATAAAAAAGATGTGCGAAACTGGAGACCGATCTCGGTCCTCATCGTCACTTATAAATTGTTCGCTAAAGCTCTAGCTCTGAGGTTGGTCAAGTATTTGCCAGCCTTGGTGGGTTGGGAACAAGGGGCCTTTGTCAAGGGGCGCTCGATATTTGACAATATTCTCGCGACGGTACAGGCCCTGGAAGTGATTAGCAAGGAAAAGAGAGATGTGGGGGTCCTTCTCCTGGATATGGAGAAGGCATATGACAAGGTTGGTTGGAGTTTCGTTCATACGACTGTTTTTTTTGCCCATTCAAAACGTGGGTTGTTAGAGATTGTGCTTCCGGGTTGATGTGTTGGGACCGCGGCCCCGACGCTGGACCCGGTGTCCAGCAGGTGCTGCTCCCCACCAATAGATGGAGCCTCCCCAACGGTGCTAGATGTGTCTGCTCTTATCAGCACACCTACAGTCTTCCCCCGAATACAACGTACGGTCATTATAGCTGAATTTGGTGTATCTTTCAGTCTAAATTCAGCTATCATGACCGTACGTTGTATTCGGGGGGAAGACTGTAGCATCCGATCGGGTTGTTCTCAAAAAAAAAAAAAAACGTGGGTTGTGACCCACGAGCCATTGGCCCCCCCCAAAAAAAACCAGAAGCCTCGAGGAAACCGCGGCGGTGGCCGTATCCGCCCATGCCCCTCATGATTCCATGGTTCCTCTACACAGCACAATCGTCCTTTCACCCCTCATCCTCCTTCTCCGGGAACAAGACAACTCTCAACCACCGGGCACTGAAGCAAGCGAGCGAAGGAGAGCGGGCGAACGTCAGCGCGCCTCAGTGCACAGCGTGCCTTCACCCCACCTCTCGCGCTTCATCGCACCTTCTTCGCTTCGGGAAAAGACAGTAGCGCGGGCGGGAGTTGCACCACTGATTCCCCTACCGATGAGGCAGAGAATCCGACTGGAGTAGAGCCCCCAGTGGTGTCGGCACTTTCCAGGGCGACGGCCTTGGCATACCATGTTCAGAGTTTGATGGGCCTCAGGTGTAAGTTCAATGCTATTTACCCATCTGGGATTTGGACTGGTGGCCGCATTTCAACACTTCATGGGCGTACCAACTGAGGTACTAGGCCCGTTGGTGCTGTCCTGGGCATACTCACACAAGGTCAGGGCTTTTTGAATCTTCCCGGCTGTCGATGGGCCGTAATTGCTTGGGCTCAGATATCTCCAGGACGGGCAGTAATTGAGCGATCAGACGCACCCAGCCAAGTCCTGCATCTCGAGTGTGTACTCTGCTCTCAGAGAATCGCATCCACTCCGAGAGTCCGAACGAGAGGACGCAGAGCATCGCCCGCCTTCTTCCCAGCAGCACGAGTCGTGAGTGTGGGATTCGTGCTGCTTCACAGCGATGGTGAGATGGTGAGAGAGAGGCACCGATGGTGAGATGGTGAGAGAGAGGCACAGAGCCGAGTCCGGGTGTGCTTAGTGACACCGGTGCAGCGCGATGAAGAAGAAGCCGCGGCCACTGAAGCACGCCCGGGGAGAAGACATACACTCGGGAGGCAAAGCGGAAGACGTGAGAGAGAGGACCGCCCTGGGGAGAAGACGTACACTCGGGGATCAAAAGCGGACTTGAGAGAGAGAGGACCGTGGCGGCGGTCAATCCTCTTCCCCCGAAATTGAACGCTACGTTATGACTGCTGTATTTATTACTATACTGGGTGGAACTTCCAGTTCCGGTTCGGATGCCGTGAGATTGACCGTGCGTTCTATTGGGGGGACGGAGGTAGGTAGTTGCAGATATTTGCAGAAACCAGGCCAGAGCGGGGTCTAAAGGAAAAGTGGGAAAGAAGGAAGGAAGGACAGACATCGCCCAAATCCGAATTTTCGGCGGCTGCAGGTGTCGTCCAGCAGGTACAGCATGTGCAGCATGTGCTGGCTTGCATCATCCTCATTCACTTCGTTATCATAATGATGAGGTTGGCTGCTTTTTATTCTCGATCACGCTTTGCGAGGACGAGATTGTATTGCACACGGCTGCTGCTCCTCAGAAGATGAAGAAGATGTCGTAGCAAACCGGTCAATGACAATCAACCGGACACAGGGCGGGGTGCACCTTACGTTTGTCAAGGAGGGCATAACAAGTAAAAGGGCCTTTACCCGATATAGGCCTCAGGCCTTGTAAAAATAAAGCAGCACGGGCCTTGAAAAAGTAAGGCATTGTGAAAAGGTATCTCGTCAGAGCTCAGAAACGTGAAAGCAGGTCAAAGGTCAAGTTCTCTATCAACAGGCATATTTAAAACTAAGGCAAAGGGCATTGTCAAAAGACTTACCTGTTCACCAGGAGATGTGTATGTCATGTCTGTTTGGGTAAGGGTGTGTCTGTACGTGCAGGCAGTGTGTCTGTTCGTGCCAAGTAAAGTGTCTGTT